CTCCTCCAACAGATGGCCCTTCTGTCACTCGCACTCTCTCACTTATTTTCCAGCCTACTGGCTCCTTCCCTACTGCCTCAAACTACTCCCTCCAAAGTGACTGATGATCCTAGTTACCAAATCCAATGGCCTTTTCTCCATCCTCATTCTCCTTTACCTCTCTGCAGCCTCTGACACTGTTGATCATCCCCTCCTCCTTGATACTCTCTTCCCTCTAGGTTTGCAGGACACTCCTCTCTCCTGGTTCTCCTCCTACCTTTCAAACTGACCACTCCTTCTCAGCCTCCTTTGCTGGCTCCTCCTCCAAATCACACCCTTTAACCACAAGTGTCCTGGCCCACTTCTCTTCTCCCTCTATACCACTACACCTGGTGATCTCATCAGCTTTCCATGGATTTAATTACCATCTCTGTGCCGTTGATTCACAAATTTACCTAACCTTCCCCCGTCCCTCTGCTGACCTCCAAACTTACATCTCCAACTGCTTTTTAAACATCTCCAACTGGATGTCCAGTAGACATCTTGAACTCAACATGTCCAAAATGGAACTTACTATCTTTCCCCCAAACCTTCCTCCATTCCTTCCCTATTATTCCTGTCAAGGGCAACACCATCCTCTCAGTCCTTCCCAAAGCTAGGAGTCATCCTGGATTCTTCCCTATCTCTCAGCGCCCATATTCAAGGTGCTGCCAAGGTCTATCAACCTCACCTCTTATTAATTTCACTTTTTAATCATCTGCCCCTTTCTCTCCTCTGCCACAGCCCCCACTCTCGTACAGGCCCTCGTCACCTCACATCTAGCCTACTGCAACAGCCTACTAGTGGTGGGTCGGGCTGGTTCACGTCTCTCCCCACTCTAGTCCATCCTCCATTCGGTCACTAAAGCACAGATCTGACCACGTCACCCTCCTACTCAATAAACTCCAGTGGCTCCCTATCACCTCCAGAAGCAAATACAAAATGCTGTTTGCATTCAAAGTCCCTCATAACTTGGGCCCCTCCTACCTTTCCAGTCGTAGATCTTTGCTCCCCAACACATACTCTGAGATCCAGTGACCCTAGCCTCCTGGGCCTTCCACAAACAAGACACTCCATTTCTCAACTCTGGGCATTCTCTCTGGCTCTCCCCATGCCTGGAACTCTCTTTCCTTCACTCCCACTGCTGACCTCCCTTGCTTCCTGTAAGTCCCAACTAAAATTCCATCTTCTACAGGTCCTTCCTCTCAGATCTGAGGAATGAGAAGGCAACAAATGTACATAGCTTATTTCTAGGACTTTAGGAAAGATCTAGAACAATCCCTCAATAGTAACATGGGTTCAAGTGAAGGTAAAGGATGAAGTAGATCTGAGTATATTTGAAAGCAACAGAGGAAGCAATGGATAAGGACAGCTGGGAATTTAGGGAAAAGGAGGGGATGACTGAAGGGAAACTAGTTGACCTTTTAAGGTTACATTCCATTTTATGACAAAATTCTTTGAGAATTAAATTATATAATAGAATCAATAACCAAGATAAAGTCTCATTTTTCAAGTCAATAAATTTTTGTAAATGTATATTTTGTGCAAGGTACATTTTAATAGATTTTATTTACCTATAGGTATCATTACATACTCTCATGGCCATGACCATATACTGTCTCATAACATAAAATTTGAAATATTTTTGCACATGTTTCATCTCCCCTCTGCCCCTCTCTCCTTCTTCACACCTGTGTCACATGATGAGGTGGCCTTCCTCCTTACTGAATCTAACCCTCTACCTACTCAAGGGATCCCCTTCCTTCCCGTCTCCTCCAACAGAGGGCCCTTCTGTCAATCAATTATTTTCCATCTTTCTCTGTCTACTAGCTCCTTCCCTACTGCCTACAAATATGCCTATGTCTCCCCTGGCCTAAAAAATCCTTCCCTTGATCCTTCTATCCCTGCTAAGCATCACCTTATAACTCTCTTCTGCCTTTTCTCACTAAAGCCCTCATCTGTAATAGGTGCCCCCACTTTCTCTCCTCTTGCTCTCTTCTTTACACCTTAACAACTGGCATCCAATCTCTTTAATCAAACTTTGGGTAAAATGGTGGCATGTTGTGTAAATCAGATAGAAGCTATCAATTATCCTTTTTAAGATTATCAAAATAAAGTTGGTAATTCTTAGAGGTCATCTAGCCTACGACCTTCATTTTGCAGATTGAGAAACTGAGGCCAAGCAAAGTTAAGCTCTTTACCTAAAAGCACCCAGGTGCTAAGAGAGACAGAATTTGAATCCAAGTCTTAAGCAAAACTAGGCAGAATCACAGGGAAGAACTATTAGAAAGCACTTCACGGAAATCAGTATAGTAAAAAGCAGGTGGAACTGCTAATCTGGAGACCTGAACTTTCATGCCAGCTGCTACTGACTTTGTACAAGTTACTTCATCTCTTTGGGTGTCAATTTCTTTAACTGTAAAAACAAAAAGCTTAGACTAGTCAGGGGTGGAGAACCTTCTGCCTCAAGGCCACATGTGGCCTTCTAGGTCCTCAAAAGGGACCTCTGACTGAATCTAAACTTCAAGAACAAATCCCCTTAATAAAAGGATTTGTTCTATAAAACTTGGATTCAGTCACAAGGCCTCACCCAAGGACTTAGAAGGCCACATGTGGCCTCAAGGCCACAGGCTCCCCACCTCTGGGACTCTAAGAAAAGCCAAACCACTAACGGAAAAGGTGATTCCACAGCCATTATAAATCATTCTTCAACCTACAGGCCATACTGTAAATGAGGTCACTAGCACCAAGAAAGACAGCAAAAGAAATGGTCCTGGGATTGTGCAGGGCTCCTTTGCATCTCTGGGGAAACCTTGTATTATTTTTAACTCATACAAGGTGTCTCCCAAAGTGTATGTTAAAATCATCTATGAAAGCTACTACAACAAATATAAAGTCACTAAAAGGTAAATTAGAAGATTTATCTAATCCAAGTTTTACCATTAATCAGCTATATGACCTTAACCTCAGTTTCCTCATCTATTAAAATGGAAATAAATCTGCTCTCTAAGTTATTGCAGAAATGAAATAAGGTAAAAACATTTTTGGGAAGAGGACATTACACAAGTATATAAATGATACTAATAATTAGAAGTTAGTGTCTAAAAGCTAATTTACTGTAAAACTTATGTAAAAATATGCAGAATGTTCTTCACTGTAAAACTTTTTTTCTTTTCTTTTCTTTTTTTTTTTTGGTGAGGCAATGGGGTTAAGTGACTTGCCCAAAGTCACACAGCTAGTACGTGTCAAGTGTTTTGTCTGAGGCCGCATTTGAACTCAGGTCCTCCTGACTTCAGGGCCGGTGCTCTATCCACTGCGCCACCTACCTGCCCCTACTGTAGAACTTAAGTATTGAAATTTTTCTAGAATCAGGAGTTAGAAAATACATTCCCACAACTTAACCAAATTAACAGAAATATATTTCAACTATTCTTGCTACAGAAAGAGACGAGGAGGACACTAGGGAGCCTTTCATTATAGAACAAGGTATTTAAAATTAGCCTCCAAAAACACTGTGACCCTCAGTGACACCTTCTATTATCTTTTCAACTGAAAATGATCCCTTCTCCAATTTTTTTTCCAGAGTACTATCTGATCTCTCTTTTTCCTCACCCGTAAAATGGGGATAAAAATAGCACCTGCTTACCAAGGTTGTTTTGAGGACCAAATAATTGCAAAGCACTTAGCACACTGCCTAGAATGTGGCCCTAAAAAATAAAACTCTCAGAAGAGCAAAGATTTTCCTTTTTAAAAAAAAATTTTTTATCTCCAACTTTCAGCATATTGCCTTACACATTACAAGGGCTGAATAAACGTTTTCTTACATTGAATTGTTGACATTATTAACAACTGACATCCATATAGCACTTCTTCATTTACTCCTCGCAATAACCCTGTAAGGTAAGTAAGCTTCATGTATGACTGTTTCTAATCTATAGGTAAAGAAAGCAGGACACAGTAAAGTTATTTGCCCACAGGCACACCGACGGTAAATCAGTTGGAGGAAATAAGAGGAACGCATGCCATTAGTAGGTAGCTCAGCTTGAGTGCAATTATCCCCATTTTACAGATGAGGGCTTCAGACTTGCCACGAGGGTACCACTGATAATAAGTGTCTGAAACTGAATTTAAACTCAAGTTCTACTATTAATCCCCAATTTGCAGACAAGGAAACCCAGTGATTTGCCCATAGCTAGTAGTGTCTGAAGCAGGATCCGAACTCAAGTGCTATTATGATCCTGATTTTACAAATGAGGAAACTGAGGCTGAGAGGGACGGTTCAGAGATTTACTCAGGGTCATGACGTAGCTAACTACGTCTGAAACACTTTTTGAAATGACGTGGATAAAGCTCTGGGATGGAGTCAGGAAAGAACTTGAGTTCATCCGTCCTAACTGTATGACCTCGGGCAAGTCATTTACCCTATGTCTGCCTCAGTTTCCTCACCTGTAATAAAGGGAATGATAATGGCACGTACCTCGCGTGGAGAGATGAGGATCAAAGGAGATCATATTTGGAAAGCACTTAGCACAGTGTGGCGCCTAGCACTGACTAGGTGCTGTATAAATGCTAGTCATTATTATTACTATTATTATTGAACTCCAGGCCTATGATGAGGCTGAGCCCCGCAGGGTCCTGATGCGCGTATGTGTAAGAAGCAGAATTTGCACTCCAGTGTTCTAAGGCTGCTGATTTCACAAAACAGACCTAGGGCCTGCGGCAGAACTCGAACTCGGCTCCCCCTGCACCACGTCCAGCCCGGTCCCCGAAGCCCCCGAGCGCCTCCCCCACCAAAGCCGGGGTGACGCGCCTTGGGGGCAGCCCCCGGCACTGGGCATTCCCGGAGAGAGGGGCAGCCGCTCGGGCCCGAGCCCCGCACGTGGCCTGAACGGCCCCCCAAGCCTCGTGCTTTCCCATCGGGCCGGGCCGCCAGAACGGGGGACCTCCTCCGCCCCCTCCCCCCAGCCCGGCCCGGGCCCCACCTCGCCAAGGAAGGAGGTGATGTCGTAGACTCGCCCATGGATCACTATCCACATCTCCTTCTCCGAGTTGCGCGTCGCCACCTCCTCGAGCCGGTAGTAGGTGGCCTCGGCCTTGGGCTCTTCACCCTCCATGCTGCCGCTGCCGCCTTCGGCCGCCATCGAGACGAGAGGCGCCTGCTCCCGGCAGCGAGGTAGACTTCAGGTGGCAGGACTCGCCCTCTCCCGCCGTGCCGGCTTCCGTATAAAACCGACCATCCCCGACTTTGGAGGACTCGCGGCCAAGCCAATGGACGTTCTCTGGAGGCGGTGGTCTGTTTTCTGTCCACCAATGAAACGCGAGGCTGGGGCGGGCCGGGAGGGAACGCGGCCGAACCTGGCTTTGGATCGTATTTCTGACTCCACTTCCAGATGACTAATCAGAAGCACCCCAGTGTCTCCTATCCGACCAATAAGAAACCGCGATTCTGAGACAGCGCGCGAAGAATGTACGGGTGTGAGGGATGAGGCCGAGGAGCGCATCTGCTCCGCCTGGCGCTTCGCCTTCCATGAGGACCAATAGGAGCGCCCGGGGTCTCCCATCAGACCAATGGAAAGCCGTGATTCTGAGACCCCGTAGAATAGCCGGGGATGAGGGATGAAGGATGTGGGACAGAAGGTACCAGCTCTACCTGAGCTGGCCGCCCCTCCTCTCCCGAACCACGTGTCACTAAAGCGGTTTCTCCCCCACTACGCGTGCCTGTGCGTGGGGTCTCCCCCAGCGACCTAACGCCCCAATTCCCCGACTGTCCCTAACCTTCGGGCCCCTGCGCGGTGATGCCTACAATTTACCCCAAGAAAACAGCAGTGACAGACTCCTGGCTTTGACCCCTGGACGTGGCCCTAAAATCGCGGGTCCGCGTGGAGGGAGAATCCCTGCAACGCTTGGCTTCAGCCTCCTCCCTACATTGGGGGTTAAGGTGACCGTGTTTTCCTTTGGAATAATATACTAATTAATAATAATGAGGTATCAAGACCTAGGGATAGTCTCCTGGGAAGACCTGAGTTCAAAATCTCACCTTTCATAGTGGCTCTGTTCTCCTGTGCTCTTGACAAATCTCAAAGACCGCCGTTCATAACTTGGGATCCACGAGTTCTGTGGTTAGATTTCAGGGAGTCCATATACTTAGATGGAGGGAAAAAATATATCCTTATTTTCACAAACGTCTAACTGAAATTTATTATTTCCTTCGGTTATGAATGTAAGCCACAAACCACTACTCTGAGAACGGTCAGTGGGCTTCACCAGACTGCCAAAGACATCCATGATATTAAATATGTTAAAATGCTGGCTCTGGGATGATGACTTAACAGACCTGCATCAGAAGAGGGTGTTTCTAAACCTGGAATTATATGTCTTTTCTTACCCTCCTCCCACTACATTTAATAAAATCGGTGCTTTAAAGTCTTGTACAGTGCTTTCCTCACAGCTCTATGAAGTTGTTTTTATCAAGTCGTTTTAAGTCATATCTGACTCTTCTTGGGGTTTCCTAAGTAGATGGGTACAAATACTATTATCTATATTTTGCAGACTGATAAGATTAAGTGACTTGCCCAGTTTGGAGGCTTACATCAGTGCTGAGATTTGTGCTCTGGAGCTAATAGGTTGGTTATCTTTTTGAACCATTTGATTGATGGAGAACTGGAGAAGAAAAGTGATTTGCACAAAGTCACACAACTTAAAGAATCCAAGCCTTCCAACTGGAACATTAAATGTTCCTTCCCAAACATCTTGCTTCCTTTATTTTTTCAGCTGGAGGCCTGAGGTCAGCATTTTGGAATTTAAAGTTTACTAACTTTATTGTGTTGACTTAGGCAGTTCATTTAACCTTGCCACAATTTAGGAAGGACATTCATAAGCAGAAATTCCAGAGGAAGCCAATTATGATGATAAAGGGCCTTAGGTCCAAGCCACAAATGGATTAATGGAAGGAAAGGGGAATATAAAGAAGAAAAAAATGAAAAATAAAAGAGAAAGAAAGAAAAAACTCATGAAGAAGAAAAGTCTTAGGAGGACATGAGAACTTCACATGACTTTGGATATTTACATACATGTTTGTAACTAATGGTTGTCCATCTATGATTTATGTTCATTTCCCTTGTTTTGATAAAATTTTCTTCTTGGGGGAAAAAAACTTTGTAGTGATACTTTACATATTAAATGTCTGATTTTGACTCATAAGGATATTATTTGTAAAGCAAACATTATATTCTTTGAAAGTGCTGAATTAATATTAATACAATCAACTCATCATTTAGCTACCAAATCTGGAAATTTATAAAGCTATTTGGTTTTTAACTCCTCCACCATTCTCTACCCTTCTTTTTGCTGTAGAATTATAGAACCAAGAGCTTTGTTTTTTCAAAAGGAGCCTTAGAAATCATTCAGTTCAACTTCCCCAATCATATGAAATGATCCTCTCTACTGTATTTAGGATGGGTGGTCATGTAGGCCACGCTTGAATACATTCAGTGACAGGAAGCTCACAATCTCCTAAGGCAATCCATAACATTTCTGTGCATTTCTTAATTGCTAGAAAGTTCTTTCTCATCATGAGCCAAAAATCTACATTTTTGCCAAAAAAAACCCAAATTGGGGAGGGAAGTATTAGAAGGGTGAAGTCAAGTTGTTCTTACTGGACTGCAGAACTTTCAAGGCCTTCAGTAAGGAGAATATCTCTACCTTCTAACTCTAGTCAAGTTGGAAGGCAGAGAAGAGATAATGCAAATCAGAGGAAAATTAACTTTCCCCAGTCTGCAGAAATGTATGTAATTGCAAACTAATTAGAGACTACATTTGTGACTGAAATATAATTTTTCTACTGTGAATTTTCAAATTTCAGTTTGAACATTTTATAAATGATAATATATTTTATGAGTTTGGGGGTATCTTTCTGCAGAATTTGTTTTAAAGAATTTTTAAATGAGTTTATAGTTTAAATTTATCTAGTACTTCAGAACTGCCTATTATTAACTCTTTCCTGGAAGTTTATTTAAATCAGGGAGCAACTTAAAAGTTAAAAAAAATTACTCTTTGCATTTCTCCTTCTCAGTCTACCCCACTGCTGCTGTCATTGCTCCAGGTTCACCAATGTTTTCTGCCATCTCCCCTTCCTTTACCCCACAATGGGGAACATGGATGATATGAAGCTCTATGACAATCTCAGGGTCCCTCCAGATGCCAGGGAGAATGAGCTGAAGAAGGCGTATAAAAAGTTGGCCAAGGTTCCCCAATTGATATATAGTCAAAGAATATGAACAGGCAGTTTTCAGATAAAGAAATTAAAGCTATCTACAGTCATATGAAAAAATGCTCTGTATTACTATCGATTAGAAAAATGCAAATTAAAACAACGCTGAGGTACCGCCTTACACCTACCAGATTGGCTAATATAACAGAAAAAGAAAATGATAAATGTTGGAGAAGATGTGGGAAAATTGGGACACTAATGCATTGTTGGTGGAGCTATAAATTGATCCAACCATTCTGGAGAGCAATTTGGAACTATGCCCAAAGGGCTATCGAACTACGCATACCCTTTGATCCAGCAATACCACTACTAGGACTGTGTCCCAAAAAGATCATAAAAAAGGGGAAAGGACCAAGATGTACAAAAATATTTATAGCTGCTCTTTTTGTGGTGGCCAAGAATTGGAAATTGAGGTGATGCCCATCAGTTGGGGAATGGCTGAACAAGTTGTGGTATATGAATGTAATGGAATACTATTGTGCTATAAGAAATGATGAGCAGACGGACTTCAGAAAAACCTGGAAAGACTTACTTGAACTGATGCTGAGTGAAGTGAGCAGAACAGAAGAACATTGTACACAGTACATTTATCTAGTACTTCAGAACTTCAGTTAACTTCATTAACTCTTTCCTAAAAGCTTATTTCATTGTGTGATATCAATTATGATAGACTTAGCTCTTCTCAGCAATGCAAGGATCTAAGACAACTCCAAAAGACTCATGATGGAAAATGCTATCCACATCCAAAGAAAGAATTATGGAGTCTGATTCCAAATTGAAGCATACTATTTGCTCTCCTTTTGTTGTTGTTGTTGTTTCTTCTTTCTCATGGCTTCTCCCATAGGTTCTAATTCTTCTTTACAACACAACTAATGGGAAAATATGTTTAATATGAATGTATATGTATAGTCTATATCAGATTGCATGATGTCTTGGGGAAGGGGAAGAGAAGGGAGAGGAAATTTAGAACTCAAAATTTATGGAAGTGAATGTTGAAAACAAAAAATCAATCAATAAATAAAAAGAACTATGGAATCTAAATGCAGATCAAAGCATACTATTTTCACTTTTTTGATTTTTTTGTTTTGTTATTGTTTCTTCTTTTTTTCTGATTCTTCTTTCACAACATGACTAATGTAGAAATAAATTTAACATGATTGTACATGTATAACCTATATCAGATTGCTTGCTGTCTTGGGGAAAGGGGAGGGGAAAAAGAGAGGAAGAAAAATTTGGAACTCAAAATCTTACAAAAAATGAATATTGAAAGCTATCTTTACATATAATTGGAAAAAAATACCATTTACCAAAAAAAAGTTGGCCAAGAAATACCACCCTGATAAGAATCCAAATACAGAGGACAAATTCAAAGAAATAAGTTTTGCATATAAAGTTTTATTAAACTCTGAGAAATGGGAGTTATATGATCAATATGGAGAGCAAAGCCTTCAAGAATGTCATGGTAGAGGCAGTGGCACAGAAGATATTTTTTCTCATATATTTGCTGGAGGATTGTTCAGTTTTAAGAGTAATCAAAATAGAAGTTGAAATGGTAGAAGAGACGAGGACGTGATGCACCCATTCCAAGTGTCTTTAGAAGATTTTTATAATGGCAAGACTACCAAACTGCAACTTAGCAAAAATATTCTTTGCAGTGCATCCAGTGGCAAGGTGGTAAGATAGGAGCTATTCAGAAAAGAGGTGCATGTTGGGGTCAAAGTGTATGAATAATGATAAGCCAGATGGCTCCTGGGATGGTACAGCAGATACTGTCTGTGTGTTCCAATTGTAATGGAGAAAGAAAAGTAATTAATGAGAAGGATTATTGTAAAAAATATGAAGGGAGGAAGGTGATACAAGAAGATTTTTGACGTTCATGTAGATAAAGCCATGAAACATGGACAGAGAACTACATTTGCTAGAGTAGCAGACCAGGCCCCAGGAGT